GCTCCATTAAACATTGAATCATTGCTTTAAAAAATTTTATTTCATCTTACTCGTATGAACACAAGCTAAATACCCTCACCTACATTTATATGTCGGTCAGTTTCTTACTACAACTGCTAATTGTCTACAGATGTGGCACTGTGAAGTGCACACCCATGTCTTATGATATATTTTATATAACAGATTATAGATATGTTATTCAAGGTAGAGCCTTCATATAAGATACTACTGTGTATTAATTTGTCTGATACGCTTAAGAGAAGAAGTTTAACATATTGTTTATCCTTTCTCAATATAAAGAATGTGAGTGACCATTTCTTAAAACATAAAACATCTGCACCTTTCCATCATCAGAGCAACAGTTCCCTTCTCTCCATTAACATATACAGTAATGTTACTCAGTTTTTCAACTGTGTATTAAGTACGCGCCCGACCAGGGCGCGCGGAACACATAATGACTATATTGAGATAGGTTACATTGATTGATATGACGCCTCTGTGTGGGTCACAGTGTTAATTATGTCTATTTTCTATCATCCAATCAAAGCTTTTTTTTTTTATTTATAATTTTTGAGGTAATCTAGTTTACTATCTTATTATATAATTATATTGATTTAAAAATACAAGAGCAGTGGTTTGACCAAAGAAGTATAGCGTGAGACACTGAACACTTTATGTATCAACATGTATGTATGTAGGAGACCACAGTTCAACCTAGTTGCTGCCCCAGACTCCCTAACATAATGTTTTAAAATACACCCCCGCCGTGAGTGGACACTCTGGTGCCCGCGCTGCGTATAAATAGGCGTGTGATTATGAAGGCACCGGTGCGACATTGATTTGTCGCGGAGGTGCGAGTTTATAATGGTAGTCTAAGCAAATGTCCATATCACGTGTTGTCGATCGCGGGGATCTCCGCTTGTACCCATCTTAATAAAAAGCTCATCTACCCATTAAAGTCCATGTACATTTTTTAACACTCTTATCTTATCTAAATCAATCAAAAATTAACGTGAACTGACACCTAACGAGGTGAAAGACATTTCGTGGCTAAAAAAAAAAAAAGAATTCTATAACATTATTATTTTTATTTACTTCACTTTCAACCAATAATGCACCCAAGTTTGTAAGTGAACACCAAATCACCAGGAGGGCAGCATCACATTATGATTATAAATCTCTTTTAAAGAGGACTGGTGGTGTGTTTACGGGTGGTAGTATATAAAAGTCACCACTGAACTCCTATCAGTATACGCTGTGTAATATGCTCCTCCTTCACCGCCGTCGGGGAGACTCCAGGTAACTCCTCCATCGGGGTAAACAGGATGTTCTTCCTCAAACACCTGCCTGCAGCTTTGTATCCCACCCTCTCTTCTATGACACGTGTATACATGTAAGTAGGTATAATGTATAAGTATATGCTGATCTTGCTTGGAAACGCAAAAACTAGATAATTTTTAACTCAAAAACTTAATTATGTGGCACATTAGTAAGCTTGAATAGAAAATCTAAGGCATTAGAATCAAATTGTTCTTATTTTTAATCATTCTGATTGTCTTACTAAGCCACCACTGTCTGAGATGTGCATAACAGTTAAAACATAAATTTACACATTATTTTTAAAATATGACCGGCCCTCTTTGAGTTAAAATATCTTAGTTTTTGCGTTTTTTCCAAGCAAATCAGCATATACCTATACATATACCACTCATGTATACAGGTGTCATAGAAAGAGGAGAATATCAAAGCTGCAGCAGGGTGAGTTTGAGGAACAACATTCCTGTTTACACCCGATGGAGGAAGTTTACCTCGAGGGATTCTCCCCGACTGAGCTGTGAGGAGGAAGCAGTATTATCACAGAGTACTGATAGAGTTCAGTGGTAGTACTTTATATAACTACACTCCGTAAACACACACGGCAGTCCTCTGTTAAAAGAGAATTTATAATCATATGTGTATGCTGCCCTCTGGTGGTCATAGTGTTTCACTACAAACTTTGTGTTGCATTTTATTTGTTTGAAAGGTGATATTAAATAAAAAATAATAAATATAGCAACTTTTCTTGTTTATTTTTTAGCCAGAAAATGTCTTTTCACCTCAGTTTGGTGTCAAGTTTAACTCGTTAATTTTGATTATTTAAAAAACAAGTGTTAAAAAATGTACATTAATATATATGTTTTTATTAAGAGGTTCACTGTGACCACCAGTGAGTAGTGTAGACACATTATTTTGTTTTTTTATTATTATTATAAAAGCTGTCATGACAATCAACTGTGCAAGGTGTATAATAGCATTTATACGCCATCTGGTGGACACAGTGTGTCACTACACTGCTGTGTATTTTAAAACATTTATTTTTAGAGGTGTCATAGCAACTGTTTGGATGCTGTTGTGTCTTTACATTTGACACTGTTGATACCATTAAAGTGTTCAGTGTCTCACTATACCTTCTGTTTTGTCAAACACTTGTAAACTTGTATTTGTTTGAACAGGTTATGTATATATACATATATACAGTATATATAAAGCTTGATTGATTGATAGAAAATAGACATAATTAAGCACTGTGACCACCAGAGGCTGTCATATCAATCAACTGTAAGTCTTAATAATCATGTGTGTACACTGCCCTCTGGTGGTCCTACTGCATAACTACACAGAGAAAGAACTGGAGTTACACATTACTGTAATATTTAATATCAGCATGAGAACTGCTTCTCTCTTTGTGTTTGGATGTTTTATTGGTGTTTAAGGAATGGGTTCACCTTCCTAATAAATAAATAAATAAATATGTAACTGCTTCTCTTTTTAACCTCTAACATTTACACAGAGCTGGCTGATGAAGGCTACTCACCTGAATGAGATCATATCTATGAATCTGATATATATAAAATATGTATACATGAGCGGGTTGTGGCCTTCAGTGTCTGTAGTGAACTACACGTATATAACCTAGTAGTTTACAGACCTGGAATTAAGTCATTTTTACAGTAATAAATACAAACTTTTGTTTAAAGACAATGTTTCAATGTTTAATGTGAGCATTACATTTATTTATCTAGCAACTTTCAGAAACTGCGTCACAATAAACAAAAATCAACCAAAATATTCAAATTAAATAAATTAAT